TTTTAATGAGCCTGATAATTTTCTCCACATATAACTTATGTTTTCATGTATGACCTTTAGTCTGGGAGGGTCAGAATGATGTGTCATTACTTGTTTTCTGGACTCTATGCCTCTGATCCTGTTGTTTAATCTCTCTTCGAAACACTTCCCTTGTAGATTTGCCTTATAGAGTATCTATAGAGCTCTCTGAATAGCCTGTGTCATATATGTTATGTATACTTCCACTCAAGATCTTTAAAGCCTTCTGAGTTGAATTTTCCATGTATGAATCTAGAGAATAAGTACAGCTTCCTGCATGGGAGTATTATTTCTTAGGGATGGAAAGTTTTATCTTAATTTCCAGTGAAGAGTGCATGGTGCATTTATGATGGTAGATTCAATGAAGTCATTTTTGTGTCTTGAGAATTCTATGATATAGTTTACATAAATTACAAAAATTTTTAGAGCATCTAGTCTAGTCCTATGCTTACTTTCAGGTAGGTAATAAGAATGAAGTAATTAAAACCCTTATATGGTAAAGAGTAGGGTAACAGGACTGGTGGGTTGTTCTCCTGAATATAAAACCTGTCTCAGTTGACTGAGGCACACATGGTTTTAGACTCAGTAATTGATTACATGAACTGCTGTGGTTTGATACCAATTACTCAGACAATTCATTTTGAGAAATTAGGTCCTGTCAAACTATTAGAGAGAATCTTGGATTCAGTTTTACAATGTGGGTACTAAATCATTTAAAGTAAAACATGTTCTATGCAGAGATTTCTAAGTACTCTACAATCATCAGATAATTTCTCAAGTAATTGCTTTAAAATATACACCCATATTTATTTTCAGAGACACATGCATATCAAAATCAAATAAAAATTTAATTACTTGTCTTGAATTTGTTTTTAAATGTTTTGGGTGGATTGAATAATGTATTAATAGGAATATTTATGGTTATGTATATATTCATTGAATTATAGACAGGAGTTTTCATTATCAGTAATATTTATATAATACATTTTGACATAATTAATAAGATGGAAAATTAACAACTTATTAGGAATTGTAACTGCAAAAAAATGATCTTTTAAATTAATTGTTTGTTTGTTTTATAAGAAAATGCAATCTACTTCACTAAATGAATTACTCTAAATGTCCTTAAGAAATAAAAATGTTTATAAAAGTCTGAAGGTTGTAAAATAATTAAATTTGTAATGACTCAAAATCATAAACTGTTACTTGACAGGAAAGTTCATATACAAACACAATCATTACTATGACAGGTTAAATAAAGTCAGCAACAAAGAACTTTAAAAAAATCATTGTAAAAATACAGAAAATTCAAATGTATACAAGTGCAAATAATTTAAAATTTTTTAATTGGCAGAATCACAGACAATTAAGGGTAAGATTTTGAATAATAAGCCACTAAAAATTTACTTTCACACACCTAAAATAATCTGTTTTATCAACAAGTAACACCTCCAAACATACTTATTCTTCATATTGTAAACATTTATATTATATATGGCTGCATAAGACTAAAAAAACTTACCATATCAATAATCTTCTTCAGGATTTCCTTAGAGAAAGCAAAAAAAATGTAAACATATGTGCTGAATTGAACACTCTATTTACTCTGCCCAACTTATTTGTAGATATAGCAAGACTAGTCTGTCTGTCAACAGCACAAGCATGATGATTTGTTCACTATTTGAATTATGTCTGAATTCCTCCAGTAATAGAAACATACATTTACTGCTTTATTTGAGTATACACTCTAAGTTGAGTTTGCTCATTTTATTCATTTTCTTGTTTCTATTATCTAGAATCTTTTAGGTGTGATATTTGCTTATTGACTATATGCTTCCTAAATAAAATGGATAAATTCATGTGTTTAATTTAATTAGCATAGTAAAACAGTTTAAATAATATCCTGCTTGTTGAAATTATGCTAAATAAGTATTTGCATAAGAAATATCGATATCTGTGCCTTGGATATATACAATTTGTATGAGAGATAATTTCAGAAAAAGTTGGTAAATATTTGCTTAGTTAAGAAACTCTAATAACAACTCAATAACATTTAGAACTATTTAGTTTTTTATAACTATTGGAAGCACTAAGTAATAATAACTTCATTTCTCATGGGACATAATGTAGTTCATCAACTTAGTCCCACCAACTTTCGTGCTGAGTAGCACTTGTCTAACCACTAACTATAAATTAAAAGCAAAACTTGAAAAGTTTATGCAATTTTCATAGTCGTGACTCACCTCCACAATGATGCTGATGGATTCCTTAGAAAAAGAAATAAAAATAATACACCAAATTATTTATATAGTAAAATGTTACTTACTATAGTGCCCCTTTCAGTTAACACAAGTAAGATACAATGGAATAAAACTAGTTAAATTATTGGATACCATTCCAGGTGCCTTTAGGCAGGTAGCACATGACATCAGTAGGGAGAAGTCTTTGAAATCAGCACTAGTGTGAGAACTTGATTCCATATTGAGAAGCACACTTTACAAAGCTTATTGCTTATAAACATAAATATATGCCTATGTTTTGTATGTAATAGCCAATTAAAGAATAAAATTTAATTTGAGGAGTGAGAGGGAGAAGGTAAAATGGAATGATGCAAATTCATTACTCATATATGAAATCCTCCAAAAACAAAAAACATGAAATATTACTATTGTAAGAAGGAATTAAATGAATTCTTGTTCTGCTCTCTCTCTCTCTCTCTCTCTCTCTCTCTCTGTGTGTGTGTGTGTGTTTGTTGTCTATTTGACTGAGATCTACTAATTTACAGTCTTTGATTCCCAATGCTGCCACCTCCTGGGCATAATAAAACATCAACACCTTTCTATTTCAGATGCACACAGATTTTAACATTTAAGAAGTTCATAACCATCTAGTGTTCAAGACAATATATGAAAGCTCACTTAGTCTAATGATGGTGATGGCTTCTTAGCTTCTAGAGAACATTTAGGAAGATACTTCACAAGAAAGACAGAGAAGGGCTATGATGTCCCCAAGGTCATATGCCACATGGCTTGCTTTTGTTAGTTCAGCCATGGCTCTTGTACACCTGACGTCACTCAAGCTGTAGATAAGAACCCACCTCCTTCACTGTTTCCTGCCTGTCACATGTTTCTCCTGTTTTAAAGACAAAAAGCCTCATCGAAGTGGACCCAGCTAACAAAACTTTACCAATTGCATTGACTTCTTTAGACTTCAGATTGTGTTTGAAAATGAAGGTAGTATTCTTGGCTTCACAAATGTGTTGTCATAGCCACATCAAATAGTCACATCAAATTGCCCATAAATGCATATTTATAAGATTTGCCATTTCTTTGAATTACTTATAAGGCTTTTCAAGTAGTAATTTGTCTATATGGTTTGTTTCAACTTGTATTCCAGAAAATGTCATTAACATTTTGTTTTCTACTTTCTATATTCAAATTTCTTGGAACATTTCCTTCAGTTAATTATTTTTCAAATGAAGCCAAGAGTAAAAACAACACAAATCAAGAATGCAGCACTCACCTGGTTGGGGATATGTATGGTCTTGCCCTGGAGCCACTGGTTCATAACAGTCTGCTGTTGGGAAACAGGTGTGCAAGACTGGAGGCAGGAAACATCCTGGGAAAATTGCTTGACTGTTTTCTAGAAGGGAATAAATGTACTGGTATTTATGGAGTGACTGTTCTCTATGGGTCAGAGTGTATCTGTATAAAATGATATCTATATAAATATCAAAAGTATGTTTTTTTTTTACTAAGGCTCACTAAGCAAATGACATTCAATTATGTAATACAATGTAAGAGTGAATAAAGTGAATTTTAGAATTGAAGACATTATTAGGTTAGGGTTCCAGGAGAACAAAGTGTTTAAAATGTCGAAGTTGAGAGTTGTCTGGGAAATACCTGACATTGCAATTTCTTTTTTTTTTTCACTTTTCTCTCAAGAAGCTTGATGCCTGCACTCTCAAATAGTGATATTTATGTTTACTTCATTGCAGTTTAACTTCTCAATATTTAACAGCATCACTATTTCAGAAGTCATGTAACTGATGGATGCAGTGGCTTGTATGGTACCTATCTTATATATCCATCCTGGGATGATTCAACTTTGATTTGGCTGTAGCTAGTTGCCTACAAATAATTGTGTTCATTAAAGTTGAAACACATAAAAAGCACATTTCTTTGCAGAGAATTTCAAGTTTGCACAGGTAAGAATAGAGTAGATGTGTAGAAGAACATGTATGTATCTCTGTTTGGGTGTCAGGTGAGACGGCACATAAGTGAGAATGGTATAAGGGTACAGTGCCATCAGGATATAGACATACTGTGAGAAAGAGCATTGGATAATTATTTCTTTAAAATAGATTATTTTACCTTGGTTTTAATGATACAGCCAGAAACTATTTTGTTATGATAGTCTTAGAATAGATTTTTCTACATGTATAAAATCAATGAGTGCTATTGTTTTTGTTTATTTTTACAAACTTCTATGTGTAGCTTGCAATTATCTCTAACATCCTTTTAAAACTCGCAGCTGTGGTGTCAGTGGATGATTTTGGGTTAAGGAAGATGTAGCATGGAGGAGTTAAGTAACTGCTCAAGGAGCTGAAGTTTAGAAGGAATTTGACAAATTTCAATCCTCTTGCACTGCGTCTCTGTTGTCTCCAGTGATGGGCTTCATTACCACCTGTGCTTCAGAATGAGAACATTTAGTAGCATTTGACCTGAATTGTCTTTTATGTTCATTCAAAGAGGAGTATTTTTACTAATTATGTGACTGAGATTTTACACATATATCTCTAGGAAATCAGTTAAAATAATTCTTTTAGTTTGTAAATTCTTTTGAATTTAGTTAGATTGGCTAGCTTTTGCTAAAATCCCATCTTTTAAGGATATTATTCACATATATGGCAACAGTTTGGTCAAACTTTGATATTGAATGCTTTCTTGGGAAGAAATGATATGACGGTGATAGACTTACCTGCTCGTTCAGGTTGATCTTTTGTTCTTCAGTCTGAGCAATTTTCTGTTAAAAACATTGCATGTATCAGAGAGATACAAACAGAAATGCTGCTAATAAAAGTAACTAAGTTAAACTGTGATTACTTACCTCATTGATTTCCTCAGCAGATTCCTAAAGGAAACCATGAAAAGTAGCTTTACTTGAGTTATATAGCAATAGTTAAACATAAATGATTTTAGTACATAGTCAGGGGCAATTATCTAAATATTCAGAATCCAACCACCCAGGACTAAGATATTAAGCCATTTAGAAATTATGTAAGCTAAATATTTATCAGAACTCTGTAAATTTCCCCTTTCCTCTACAAAAATCATAGCATAATTAGAATATATTTTAATTCAACTCTTTAATACTGCTTTATTCAGAATTTTTGTTTTTTTGGTTTTTTTGTTTTTTACTTTTTGATATGGAGTGCAGGCAAGTGGTCAAAATAAATAAATAAGACCAGCCATGATATGCACTATGCTTGTAATTTGAGCATATTCAGTAAACTGAGGCAGTAGGATTAGTATAGGTTCAAGTCCAACCTAGGCAAAATAGTTATAGAATCAGACCCCGAATCCTTCCTGAAAAATGTAGGAAAGAGGAGCTGGGGAATAGGGCATGTTTGATGGGAAGTGAGTTGAACTAAGCCTCACGGGTCTTCTCTCAATGACAGATATGGTTGGAAGCTCCCAGTCTGAGACTGAGACTTACATTTATAGAAAGGGTGAGGCCTGTTCTCTGAGACATTGGCTATGATGATCTTAGGCATCATCCAAGGTCATGGGGATTCAGATTATGACTCAATACACTACTACTAGCCCTTATAAGGAATACTTAAGTTTGCCACCATTGTTATCAAACAAAGGCCTGGAGCTTGCCTTATTACATACATAACATCTGAACCAAACATTCTTCTGTCTCTATGAAAATGGTTCTCAAGGTTTAATATGGGAGTATTATATCAAAGATTTAGTTAAAATGTAGAGTTTTTAGTCCAACCCAGAGTTCCTGATTCACCTTCTTGTGGAGTCACATATACAGCAAAGAACAAGGTGTAATAAATAGTATTTTTATGAATTTAGTCGATTTAAGCTATAATGGGATATTTTTGAAACCATTTCTTCCATTGAGTATTTATAGTATCTCCTATGAAATATCAAGTTATTATAGGACAGTATGCTTAACTCACTATTTCTCAAAAATAACACAGAAGAAATAATAAGTTACCTCACTGGATGAGCTGATGGCAGAGTCCTTGATAAATCAAGTAAAAGTAAAACAAAAGAATTGGTGACATGAAGAGAGATTTCTCAACAATATTCCTCAAGAAGCATCAATTACCTTAACTTTATACCATATTGATTTCCTACTGGATTACTAACATGCAAAATGAGAGGGAGGACAGAGATAAAGCATTAAGTCATGGTTCATAGGCATTGATCATTAACCGCATTCAGAAAAATTTATGGGAAGGATCAAGTTTACCAGGTATTTAAATGGGATTTGGTGAGCATAAAGGAGCATGAAGGGATAAAATTAGTGCAGCTAGAGTCAAACTGTAGTCCAAATGACTATAGATACTTCCTTCTGGCATATTTAAGGAGGGTCTGTGGGATAGCAGTCATATTCCATATCAAGTATAAGTATTGTTAATACTTAACTATATAGTTAAATGAATAAATTTTTTCTAGTATCTCATCTATTTTTATTTGTGGCTTTCTAGTTACAAAGAATTAGGCACATTTATCCTATAATATTATTTATGAAATAAGAGAAACCCATTTTCATTAGAAAGAGTTATATTAATACTTTATCTCCACCATGGGTTTATATTGAAATAACCTATTGAAAATGTGGCTTCAAAATGACACATATCATTGTGGTATCTGTGTACAGCACATTATTGTATAATTGCTAGCAAAGATTATGAAAACAATGACCATTTGAAGTTCAAAGTTGAATAAATAACAGTCATTTGGCCCAGTGGTCAGCACAGATGTTAATAAATGAATCTTACCTGATTTGTTTGGAAGAACACATTATTGCCCTGCTTATACTTCTGAAAATAAATAAATGGAATTAATTTTATGGTTATATTAATTGAAAACATATTTTAAAATATATTTAATGTAAGAAACTATGACTTACTCCAAGGTAGGATCTGGCAGTTTCCTTAGGGGAAATGATAATGCAGTTTGATTACTTACAGATTCTTTTGCCCATACTACCCAAGGAAGAATTGAACACTGACTATTGAATCCAAGAGTTTTATCACAACGTTTTTTAGTATAATAGCAGAAAAGAGGGAAGGAACAATTTTACTTTCCCTTCTTAACCTCTTAAAGACATTCCTTTGATTTTTAAGTAGAATCCTGGCAGGAGAGCACAGCAATTTGTGGGGTGGCATTGATCTGGAATCTGTTAGTGAAGCATGGGAAGAAGGCATTCAGAAAATGCTGCCCTATATAGATGCACACGTCTGTGTTCAGTACTCCAGCAGGAGATGTAACAAATTTTCTCCATCATTTACAACACAATGGGATTCTTACCTGACATCAGAATTACTGAACGATGAGATAGTCAGCATAGGAAACATGTAAGTTTGATGCTGCTTATTTCCTCATAATGTTTTATTTCAACAGATGAACTCTAATTTTTCTATGGCTTTATAGGTCATTAATGCTGCTCATAAAAATCTGAATGAGCAAAGACATATCATTTACTATTAGGTGCCCATATTCGTATTCATAATAAGTAACTTACCTCACTGGAGGATTGATCCTTTATTACCTATATAAATAAAAATAAACATGAATTTAATTTTTATGGCTTATTTAAAGGTGTATGTCTTTTCTATTGCTAATTGCAGCAAAATTAAAAAAAAAAAAGCTGAGGCAAGTGGCGTGACTCAGCAGGCATAGGTACTTGCCACCAAGCATGAGGACATGAGTGCATCCCCAGAACTAGATAATAGAAGGCAAGAGCTGCTTTCCAACTCCCATAAGGTGTTCTTTGACTTCTTAATGAGCATTGTGACATGTACACACACACACACACACACACACACACACACACACACACACTAATTAAAATGGTTTAGCTAAAAGAAAAGTTTCTTAGACAAATATAGTGTGAAAGGGCTCTCTTTGAAAAGTTAGGTCTCAAATATCAGTATGGGACAATTTCAACACAAGTGCTTTTGAAGATCCTGAGCTATCATTTGCTAAGTACACTGATGCACTTTTAGAAGGATGAATTTCTTTATTTAAAAGAAAACATTTAGACTAATAATAAAAGTAAGAAAAAGGTACTATGGATCCTGTATAATACTTCCAAAGCATCTTATTATGTTTCTATGTACATTAACTTCTTTATCATAGAGAGTTAGTGTTTAGGTTCAGAATGAAGGTAGAGACAATGTTGAAAGACTACAAACTGTAAACTTTAAAATGTATTATCTGTTATGTGCTTTGCATTTTGTGACATTGTCATTATCATTATCATCATTATTATATCTTTACTAGTTTTTTTAGCAAATAAGTTACATTCAGACCCAAGCCTACTTAATTTATCTCCATTAAATTCTTTTTTGTTAGGCTTATGTTTATGATATGTGTGTGCATGTGTGCATGTATCCATGTTCTCATGTGCTGGCAGAGGCATGCATTCATATGTGAACTTACTGGGAGTGCCTGTAGTTTGCATTAGGCATCTTCCTTGATATCATTTTACTTTACTCACTGAGACAAGATCTCTCTGCTGAATTCAGGGTTCCCTGAATGAAATAATCTTGCAAGCCTGCTTGTTATAGAATTCAGTCTCAAGGTCTTTGATTTCCAAATGTGTGAATTCCAGGCTGGCAGCTGTGCTGCCCACTGGAGGTTTCATATGGGTCCAGGGAATCCAAAGTCCATCCCTGTACTTGTGTGCCAAGTGCTTTATCTTCTGAGCCATTTGCCAGCTCCATATGTCCTCATGTGTATTTTGTCATCATGATTTCTAAACTAATTTTAAATCAAGAGTGACAAAATTCTGTCAATTCATTGTCAACTGGCTTTGGAAATCCAAATTATGGTGGGTGAAATTTCCTTTTACTCCCAGAGTGCACTGGAAATAGAAATGGCTCCTGCAGACAGCTCTAACTAAAATTATAAAATACTTTTAGAGTATTTTATAATACTGGACAATTTTATCTGGACAATTCCTCCCATTGTCTCCACTTATGAATCTCAGTTTTCACCCTTTGTAGCATGACTGTCCAACCTTGTATTTCATATAAGGTCAAACTAATACTATCACTGACATAGATTCCAAGGTAACAGGCTTAGTCTCAATTTCTTGTTGACAATGCCCACATCTTTTGCATATAGTAAAATTTTTACTATTTTTATAATTCACAAATGAAACTATAGCACCATGTATCCCTGTTTACTTACCTGCTTTGCCAGAGCAACAGCCACCAGGCAGGTAAAGATGAAGAACTTCATGGTTGCTTAGTCCTATAGAAACATTACAGAAAATTAATAATATATCTTATTGAAACAATGAAATAATCATTTATCTATTACTATACATGCAATGAATAAAGGTAATGAAGATGAATAAAATAGGATATGTTGAGAAATTCTATGAATACAAATAGAAATATCACAATTTATTTTGAGACTTTTTTTTCCTAACAGGAGATACTTAAAGGAGTGCTTGTTTAAAATGTAGATGTTTCTGATGACAACTGAAATCTATCATCATGCCTCCCATGGACACAAGCTACAACCTTCACCTTAAAGGAGTGTGGTCAGTCACATTATTTCAGATCTAGAAGTGTAGGGAAAATGACTCTGGGGCCATGAGGAGGAAGGTAACCTGCTCATTTCTCTGACAGGTTCCCTGTGGGAGGATACTCCTTGTGCAAGTAATGGCCATTACCCAGAAATGCACAGTCCAGACCCTTACCTTTTTAAAGCAAATCACAGTCACACTTTCATCAGAAGAACCTTTTTATATTATATTTTTTTATATTTTATATATATTCATAATAATTTTATATTATATTTTATATGGTCTGGTCTGTTCAATAGTTCCATACCTGCATACACTTTCTCCAGAGAGATATTTTATAGGATTCTCATGATCTTGTTAAACTTACTTGTTCCTAAATACAAGTTAATTTTAACTGGGTATTATCTTACACTTCTTTAGAGGATCTACTCTGAAAATCATGAAAATCATCAAGACAGAAATAAGAAACAGCCGGGCGTTGGTGGTGCACGCCTTTAATCCCAGCACTCGGGAGGCAGAGGCAGGTGGATCTCTGTGAGTTCCAGGCCAGCCTGGTCTCCAGAGCGAGTGCCAGGATAAG